ATTTTCATTTTAATAACCGTACTCAACTCCAGACAATTATTTATTAAATAACAAGGATATGCGGGGAATTGCGTGCTGATGCTGCGGTCAATTTATTTAACTTTGATATCTAGTATCTTACACAAAAGGAAGGCTACAAATTATATTAATTTTCATTGGTTCTTCTTATCTTATAAGGTATTTTGTATAAAAATCATCTATTTCTGACTTTTACTTGTAGATCTTTATGTCTCTATTAATATTTTACGTTGGCTTTGATTGTATAATACCACGGCCTCTACTCCATTGGCTCAAATTTATCAATACAGTGGATCCCAGCTGATACACTTCCTTCATTACTGTTGTTATTTTATTTGTTGACCACTGGGTTTAGTAGTATTAAGCTGTTAATGTACATTATTTTCTCTTCAATATAAAATTCACCGTACAGAGAAAGTGGCTGAATTGGGCTGTTATCCAGTGAGATGGATGGGCAATCAATAAGGTCCTGCTTTGGTTTCAGAGTGACAGGATCTCACCTGAGGCCCTGAGCCTCAAGCCAGCCGCTGGAGATTGTTTATTGCAGTGCATCCTTGTATATAAACACTGTTGCTCACCGTCTTGTACCATCAGGTTCTTCAGTGATGACTGTGGTATTATTTATTGTCAGAACATATAATCCTCAATTGTTTGAGCTACAAGGCGTAATTAAGCCATTTTGTTCTTGCTGATTACTTAACCGGTAATATCAAATTTAGTGGGGCTAGGTCCTGTATTATTTTGTTTTCAGGTACTTCTTTCAAATTGGATCTCCGTACTTCTATAAGTTGTGATCTGATGTTAAAATTTAAATTTTGTAGGCACACTGTTGCCTCACCTGGGGATTGTATTCCTTTGTACTGTGAAATTACCGTGGGTTGCAGGTATGAGAGGTGATAAATGTGGTTTGTATTCAGGTATATTGTTTGGTGCCTCAAGTGTTATCAGAGAGGTGCTTGAATTATTCTTGTTCAAGAATCACCAAGTGTTGGTGGCTGAGAAGTGTACTGTTAGATGAAATACAGAATATTGCTCTATTTGGTTCAATACTTTAGAAAGTCTAGCATTGCATTGTGTTGTTTTTATATTTAGATACCCCAGTGATACATTTACTCTATATATCTTGAGCAAAATTATACATTTACACCCCACATTATCGTGCCTCAATGTACTACTAATTCAGGGGTTTGAAATCAGAAGTACAATATTGTGATAGTGGGACAGAGAGGAAAGTGAAAGAAAAAAATATGGAAGTAAGATCCCCTATAATAGATGACAGCGATCTCTGATGTATATCTACCATTCACCTTAGGAGGTGAAGGCACTTCTAAAGGGCCATAGGGGACTACCTTAAGACCCTCAGGCACATACAACAAAGATCTTTCTCCCCGAAAAAACTGTCGTGGCGTTGGCTGACAGATTGGCTAGAGGTTGACTTCCACTTGATGATGACGATGGGTGGCCGCGATGGTGTTTATCTCGAATGGACACTGTGTGAAGATGACAGCATTGATACCTGACATCTAACGGAGGATGCATCAGCAAGCAGGAAAATTTGAGAATGACACGTTTGAAAATATCCTTCAGAATTGACTGACTCGTGGCTGCGTGATCTCATAGTTTATCTGGATAAGCTGGTTCACCAAGTCCATGGACTCAGGACTGACCTGTAGGGCTGCAGGCGTCATGCAGTCTGGGGATGAGTCTGGTGAGGTGAAAGTGGAAAACCTTTTCTACTAACAGGTTGGTTGTTCAGTCAAGTCAGTGTCTAGGATTTTACAGTGTTATTAAAGTTCATTTTCTATATTTCTTCATCATGTACTATTATAAAACTGCATCTCTATACCACCTTCCCTTCATTAAACTAAAGAAGTTTGAATAATGTCTGGGATAGTAAACAGTGGATACACAGAAAGTTGTGGCGGAAAGAACATTTGAATTTCTGGGACTGGCTTCTGGAAAAGCCTACTCGTTAAGGATAAATATAAAAATATATTTGTACAGCTAATCTGTTTCACCATTTTATACTTCAATGTATTTTAGAAAACTGTGATGTTTTGTTTCCATATATAAGTATTTGTGGCCCCTTATAACTGGGTTGACTGATCCACTTTATTGCTTCAATTCTTGCTTTCGTTATGATATGTACAGCAGCATTATATATATTTCAGGTTTTATTCGTCTATTCATTTGTAGTACACCATTATATCCATTGTTGCTCTGGCTTGTCCTTTATTCAAATCTCAAATTCAATTTGTATTTGGAAGTTAATTACTGACTTATATGTACTTTAGCAAACCTCAGGTGTTGCAATAAGACACAGTGAGCTCTTATCGGTTTTGGAGGAGAAAAAGGCTACTCACTCCCACCGAGACCACTGTAGACACCCACAAGACCACCTAACAGGCACTCTACAAGACCACCTAGGCCTTTGGACCACACCTAACGACCCTCACAAGACCCCACCTGCTGACCTCACGCTCGAGATGCTCCACCTGGGCGTCTCAGGGCCAAAACACATATGTGGCAGCGTAGATGGGGGACGAATATGCGTAAAACAGCACGCAATTCACGTTAGATGACGAGGCTTTGATTACACCACCGACACGTGCCGGATAATTTGGGTCATTAAGGATCAATCTGTTTTTTACGCAGATTGGCAAGACTGCATCAGGATAACACCAGTTCACTGACTTAGGTAATGGTGGTTTCGTGACCTAAATATTATTTTTCGTTCTAATGGTATCTTTTATGATATCGACGTTCTCCCCAATTACAATGATCCTCAAATTCTAAATCAAATATACAAGGTTATCGTTCTGGCACTGTATCTTATAATTATTTAGAACGACAAAACTAAAAAGGAAATTGTACCCACCGCGACTAGATCATATATAACTTTTTATTGTCTTCCTCTTAACGATTGATATACAAACAGGAATCTTAAAGCGTGGGATTGGATAGTTGCTTCGACAAAGATATGAATGGATAAAGAACTTTCCAGTGAAGGCAAAACCAAAGTTGCTACGTCCTCTTGTGATGTTAACGCTCCGTATGTCTAAAACAGTACAAATTGCGGGATGCCCGTAGAACATACTGGTGTGATCTAACCAAACACTCACAGGAGTTTACCGGGTTCATATAAACTTTAAATTCTATTACGCTTCTTTCAGACAGGCCAACCTGGCGGCTGACGTTTGTTAATAATGACCATTAAAATAAAGGTGAATAAATAAGATTAATGGATGAATGCGAAAAAATTGTTGAAAGATATCCACCAATTCAATTTAAAAATTTTATATATTATCTTATATAAAATTCTAAAAGCCTTACTTGTATGACTTGATGGATTTGTAACTTAAAGAATCTAGATTGATTACGTGGCTATTAAGCTTGAATAAAGGCCTGATTTATTGTTGAGTCCTCTTGGCGACTGTGGCCTTCTCTTTTGATATTTCTCGGCAGTAGAAAATTTTGGTCCTTTGGATTAATTCTTTGTGAAATTTTTTCATATATTTAAAAACTATAATATTAATCTAACATCCACTTAATATATTCTTCACGGACAATATGAAGAAGATGAAGGCTGTACTAACCTCCAAAATTCACTTATTACGATCTACATACGGGGAACAAAAAGTCTTTCGTAAATACAGACCATGCTTGACACCTAGAGTGGACATATTAGTAACTCGAACTCGCTCTCTTAATAGCATTACTACAAAAGGACTGTACAGTGATGTGATCGCGACAACACCCTGACGAAATACCTCTAACCTGAACTTTGATGCGCTGCTACTGTTCTGTTGGCAGGCTGCGGCCTTGGGACTGCTACTGTGACAGCCCATAAAAATTTGCTGGCCCTTATGAATATTTTGGCTTTTTCATCATATGTTTATCTTTTCTCTTCATTTATTTCATTTGGAAGATGGTCACGTCTCTATTGCACCATTAGGTACTGGGCAATGGTTCTGGATATATCTGGACCTGTATCAGTGTTGGTCAGTGGTCTTGAGCAACCACTTGAACCGTCACAACACTCTCGACTAGTTTATTTTGGTTTGTTCTTACCAAGCTCTGCCCTGCATATGCAGGTATCCAGTGTCTGAGCGTTTTAGTAGCGCTCCCCAATTGGTCACCCTCTGGCCTTCTAAGTTTACTTTGTTTATATGAATTAGGGCTCAAATACAAACCTTATTGTGTTGCATGCTTACTTGTCGTGCTAGTTTCACTTATGAACTTGATGTACTTTCGTTTCCACGCTGTTATTATTATAAATATTTTTTTAATATTTACCGTATATCCTGTGGTTATAGAGTATTATGAATGGCACGTTCATCGTTTGCTCTTCCTTGTGTTTTCAACATGGAACATTATAACCCCCTAGACAAAGTATGTCCCCTGCTTGCTCCTCAACATAGCCACACATAGACTTAACATAGCCCCACAACAGATGTACAATACAGTATGTCAGTCAGTCTTATACCCATTTGAAAGTGGTGAGAGGAGGCGAGGATCTCTTATCTCACCAAACAGATAGATACCAGCCCAAGTAGACCGGGAGGAGTGAGGGTGAAACCAGACCAAACACTAGACCACTTGGGGCGACGCTGAATCATGTCCGTTTACAGGCAAACTGAACTAGAACTGCAGGAAAGTCAGTGGTATTAGTATTAACTCTGTGTGGCTGTGTCAGGGGAGGCAGTGGTGGTGGTGGATATAAGAATACGACTTATGGTGTTAGTGGCAGTGTTGGTTAAAATTACCTTGAGTGGTTACAGTACAATGTAATACAGTTTACCTTACCTCAGTTTTATACTTATAAATATATGGAAACTTTTAATTTTGGCCTTCACTGACCTCAATCTTCTCATTTCAGTCAGGTTGGTACACACCTATTATTATGAAGGCGAAAGGCCACACAGTAGGATAATATATACCTGCTGAAACATCTATAGGGTAACCTCCAGTTATACACACACTGCCCATTAAAGACACTCAAGGGCATCAGGGAACCGATCCACGACTTCTGCTCCTCCGTCACGTTCAGGGTCGAGTTAGGGCTGTCGAGGGAAGCCAGAGCGGGGGAGGTGTAGGCGGCACTGAACCCTACTGCCATAGAGCCCATAGCCACGGACACGGCAGCCAGTACCTGAAGGAGAGAAGGGGCGTGAGGATATAACTTGGCATAGAAGAACATATTTTGGTTGATGTACGATACCTAAGACATCAAGCTTACGTCTATATCTCAGAATGCAGAGTAAATAACCTGTGGAAGTAACTCTCACCTATTATAATTATTATCACAGTAGTAGCGAGGTGTGGGGAGGACAAGCAGATGATCTCAGATATATTAAAACCATCTAGGGATAATTTCTCAAAGCAACACATGGATTATTTTGCAGTAAAAGATAATTATTTGCCTACTTAAGGGAATATTCTCCTTTCGGTTCTTTAGTATAAGAGCGATGGTGGTAGCTACAGCTTTACACCATTTAATATGAACAAAAATATCTCAAACAGTTAACCAATTCACTTTATTGTAGTATTTTTTTATTTAATTTACTATTTGGGTTATACAGTAATAGAAAGACCATCGCTGTGTTTACAAGTTGATAACAGACTTGGCAGTGGCGACGGTGTTTGTGTTTGTGTTTGTGTTTTTTGCTCTGAACCAGAATAGAATACTGTACCCAGCCGCGGTGTTGTTGTGGCTGTGTGCCAGAGTAAAATAAACATTGGTGGTGATGCAACGTGACGTCAGTTTAGTCTACATGACATTAATACATTCACTGGTTAGTTATCATACTCTCTTCGTCTCAAGGGAGTAAACAGTTCTACGCCGCAACAACTCAAAACCTTCCGTTGACTCCATAACAGAACATATGAACAGAAGTTGTAACTGTTGACTGAAGAATGAGTTCGATTCCACTGACGCACTTAAGGGTCAGATTTATTCTAATGACGTAGTTATGGGTGTTAATTGATCCCAGTGTCGTAGTTAGGAATAGGAGATGATATACTTGCCAGTGATGGTGTCTGACGTGTGACGGAACATGAACCGATAGTAAGAACCTGGCTTGAGTGAGGTGGGTGGCGCAGTTACTAGTTAGACTAACGATGATGACTAAGAAGGCAAATTAAAGAAATTCGTGTTTTAATGAATGTTTGTTTAGTGGTGCATAAATATTATCCCTGGTAACTAGTTGCCTGTGTGAGTCTTGTCTCTACTGACTGTGAGTCTTGTCTCTACTGACTGTGAGTCTTGTCTCTACTGACTGTGAGTCTTGTCTCTACTGACTGTGAGTCTTGTCTCTACTTTAAGACGTGAGCAGTTCCTATTGTCATCACTGGTCGCCACTCAGGAGGGCCACACTTGGTCGTCACTCAGGCGGGCCACACTTGGTTGCCACTCAGAGGGCCACACTTGATCGCCACTTAGAGGGCCACATTTGGTTGCCACTCAGAGGGCCACACTTGATCGCCACTCAGAGAGCCACATTTGGGTGCCACACTTGGTTGTCACTCAGAGGGCCACACTACCCCAGTAACTGAGAACTCCAGCCATGAACATATCTCCCTGCTGGTGACGTCAAGACACCTGCGCAGTGTAGGGCAGTGACTATGTGCAGGCCAGCGGAGGATGAGGAAGGGCCATGGTGTGACGGACGGACACAGCACTTTAGGCTATCATCAGCCTTCGTGAGGTGTTCCGTCTGCACACTCCGTTGACCCCGTCGATTGCACCACAGGCGCATTCCCCACCAGAGAAAGATCCGGATGACGTCACTTCAGCTCAGTGCTCGTAAGGGGATCATCCTTTTTCAGGAGGAGCCCCGGGGCGCCGCAGGGAGAGTGGGGGTTGTTACAGCATCTTAGGAATACCGTCACCGCCGTCTCCAGGTCTTCAACGGTAACTGGTGTAATGGACCAATTGTGTTTTACGTTTAGTGTGTGGTGACAATAACAACAGGTTTGTCTACTCGTTTGATTTTCACTACAAAACGATTTTCTCTTATGGTCAAACAATTACAGAAGAATACCTTTATAAATATTAAAGCTTGATATGAATACTCGTATATAATCTATAATAAGTTACAGAGAACAACAGCAGGACGCGTGTTTACATGAGCTCGTGTACACAAACAAGTCTCGCCAAGACCAACACCGCCAGACGACGATTACGGTAACACGGCCATCGACATTTCAGGCACCGGATCTTGACTATGACAGTGTAATGGGACGCCGTGTCAGACAGGTCAATTTATTTTGTCTTCGCCTTGAATAATGTAAAGTTAGGAGTTTAATCCTTGCCGTGGTCAAGGCACAACACTTTTCATCTCCTGGAACAAAATCTTCCTTGAGCAAATTTGAGTTGTGGCAACAGTCTGAACCCCCCCCCCCATACACACACACACACACTTCAGCCCCGTGATATTAATGATAATTCCTCATTGTGTTTTTTCCTTTACAATGTATTATTTTTTTCCTTTACATTAAACATTTCTTTACTGCCCACACCCAACTTCCTCATTCACACCGATTCCAGACCATTTTCGTCCATCCTCATCCACCACCCTCACCCACCACCCTCATCCACCACCCTCATCCACCACCCTCACTCTTCACCACTTACGTCAGGTTTCTCCTGCTTGATAGTGAATCAGTTACCAGCGCAATAAACTGTTCAAGTGGTCCTACCCTGACAGCCCCAGCTTAATGGCGTCTCGCGGAGCCCCTCTATGGTACCGTACACCCGTGAGTCAGTAGGAGCCACCATTAACCATATACATACAAAACAAAAAAGAAACATTGTTCTTTTACTTTATTCTCACAATATATAAAGTGTGTCGCTGCATGATCACCATAATGTTTACTTAATGTTGTAATGTAAACACCTGAGACGTTTGTTTACTTTTGAGAATTATGTTGTTTTCAGTCATGTTGTTTCTACATGTAAATCCGTTGTACTATTTTTTATAGATATTATCATTTGTTATTGTCACTTTTTTATCAGACTGTTAAGTTTCACTGTTCTTCAATCAGTTTGTTTGAGGCAGAGAAATGACTCATAGTTTCTCATACCAGTTAACTGAGTGAGGCCTGCTTAGTGCCCAGCCTCCCTCCCTCTCCTCCCCTCCCCGTCCACAATCATTGATAACGGGGGTCTGACGAAATACTCCTCACGTCAAAAAAAAAGTACATTCCTAGACACAATCACCCGTTCCAGACATTCACGCAACATGGTACCCATAATTGCGGAGCTGAGTTGTGGTTCACCTCTGACACGACGCAGCTGGCCGGTGTTTGAGTCACAGATGAAATGTACCGGTAAATGCCCCCTCCCCCCACACACACACACTCATCCTTATATCACTTTATGTAACTTGCTGACAATACCCATGGCCCTTCAGGTACTTACGCCCTTAATGCATGAGTCGAGAAGGCAAGCATGTTGGGCGCTGTAAACGTTTTTGGTATAGTTGCCGGTACACCTCCCCGCCGGTGAGTTTGTAACTTTCTACACAATACAGAGGAGTGCAGGTTACATACACAGGTAGACAAATGTCTAGATTTTCAGAATTCCGTACATCAAACTTCACCCCCAACCGCCACTTTGAGACTTTGACGTACAGTACAATTCATAGATGTGTTCTCGCATCACCAGATAGAATAAAAAATATAAGTTATATATCGAATCTCTGAGAGTCTTGTCCGAGACTATAAGCCAAGTGCACTGTTACTGGAACACCCACACCGGCACTCTACCCGAGGTCAGGTATTAACAATTCATCACGGTGGAGAGGATGGCGTGAGGGCCAGAAGGGAGGTCTCCACGCCCGCATAATCTAAGATCGCGATTTACTTCGCGCCAAGAAGCGTCAAACTACCCACCGTGACCCACCCTGCTGACGGACCAGGGTTGTTTTGGACTATATGAAGGATCGGTTGAAAACATTCGAAAATATTAATATACAGTATCTAGTTCCCGTTCATCATCTATCAGTGCGTCAGGCGGCTCGTGGCGGGAGTGGCTGTCCTTCATATACACGTGGTCGTTTACTTTGTACAATAATATTACTACAGCTTCACAGTTTTCTCCTGGAGGGACAGAAGCCGCAACACAGCAACACACAGGAAGTACCCTTGATACAGTGTGGTCTAGGACCTCATCCCCAGGAGCGGCCATGTATCCCCCAGCAGTCCAGCAGAAGAAGACAAAAATTGCACCAAGTTCACTATTATTTATTAAATTACTTTCATGAAGGAACTCGCCCAAGAGAACGACTACACATACATATATATACCTTCCTTACCGAGCACACGCGTCAAATGTTGTGAACTGCACTTGTCGGAAAGACGCCCGGGCTGAGTAATCTAACATACTCCTGTTTAAGTAGAGCATAACAAAGACAACGTACTAGCAACAAGAACTAAAACCGGTTCCTTTGGCTCCGGGAGGAATTTGATACCCTGTCAACATGTGGGTACAGTCCCGTGGCACACATTTAAGTCATGACCACAATACAGAGCCAGATGTAAGTCAAGACATGTACTTCGTCCCCCTCCAATGAACACAGGTATACACGTGGACTCCCTTCACAACTATTGCTATTCTTCCCTCTGCTGTTGCCTGTTTTGATATTACTTCTTCCAGCGGCCGCGACCAACACATAGAACATACGCGGCGAAACTCGAGGACCGCTTAATGCTTATGATAGGAATTCAAGATCTTAAAATTACAACAATGATAACGAAACCCTGATGGACAGGTCGGCCTCAGCGGATACCCTCGTTGGTGAGCGGGTGAGAGCGACCATCCTGTGACGTAGCTGGTCCACCTCTCGCCCCTGGTGACTGACCTTCCGGAAAGTCTACATTCTGGAAATTGCAATTCATGACGAATTATAATCAGCGACACTATTTCTTTCTTTTCGTTACTTCATTTGTCCTGGATAATAAATACTCTTCTATTGTTTCCATTATGATTCAATCCACATGTCAGTGCCTCTGTAGCTGTGTAAAGGTCAGTTTAAATGGCTGATGCAACAGATATTACAGAAATCATCACGCAATTCTTGAGAGAAAGTTCTTCCTCACAGTTGACTTATCTTTTGTCTTACTTATTAGTAATTACTGGGTGAGAGGTTC